AATTAATTAACTTTTAGGGCACCTAATCGTTCTATTAAGTTAATAATTCGTAACAAGCAATAAGTTTTCTTATTCTAAAACATATATCACATGTTTTCACACTTCCGAGCGTATGAGAAGAAATGAACATTATTAAGAACGTGTTTAGGTTGAATTAGTAAAGTTAGGTCTAGTCAAAGAGCGTGTTTTGGTTAGATAATTTGGCAAGCGAGAGGTGTTAGAGCGTGTTAATATCTTTCAGTACCAACTTAGAATAGCAATCTTGAATTACATCAAGTCATAATCAAGTTGAACAACAACATTGAGAACTAGAACTGGAAGCACTTTTACAACTTGCTTACAAATCTATTTCATTTTTTGCATGTTTCAAAGTTGATTGTTATTTTCATTATTTGACCTTTGTAAACAAACCCCCCTTTGTGACCAAAGTACCTTACGCAAAGAGGTATAGACTTTTATCACGTGTCTTTGTGGTTCGACCCTGCTTGCCTTGTACTACCTTTTTAGTGCATTAAAGCAGTGTATTTGGAGTCTGTTGTACCCCTATTATTTGTTGGGTTTGACACGCCTAACAGTACCTTATGTCTCAAAATAAACATAATTGTAGCTAAAAGTATTAGAAATATGTACAAAATAGATGACTAAATATGCACATATCATATTCTTTTAATAATTTTTATAAGTTCTTTTTATTCTAAAAATACACAAAAAATGAAATAGGATAACATATTACTCTATTTTCTATTTTATTTTTAAATAAAAAAATAAGTTTATATTAGAGATGGTCTAAATAGATTGTTAAAACCTAGGAGTGAGGATATGATAGATAGGGCCCAAGTGAAAGGGTCACTTGTCTAGACCCGTTAGTCCGTCTTTTCCACAAACTGGGCTGGGCCGGGGCGACTAGATTTTATGCACATGCCGCGCGCCAGCAACAACGGATAAGAGTTTCCTCCTCCATCACCATCGTCTTCACCACTCTCTCTTTCTCTCACACTGATTGCTGTCGAAATGCTAGCAAGCAGTAGCTTCCATGGCCGACCTTATTCTCACTTCGCACACTCAACAACTAGTAGAGACAACAAACCCCCTATCTCCTCCTACTCCCCCCTTACAAAACCCCACTCTATTCCTTCTGTCTGTGCTTTTCTTTTGTCGAGAAGAATAACCTCGAATCGGTTCAAAATACGGGCTCTAAATCGCGAGTCTAATGGTGACTCAGTCGCAGAAAAAGAAGCAATACCGTTTTTCCCTCACCGCCATTCCGTTAAAATTCCCGTCGGAGATAGACACGTAAGTTGGCCATTTCAGTTATGGTTTTAAGTTATTTTCGAATTGCGTAGGGTTGTGAATTTTCTCGGAAATGAATTTAATATATTGGATTGCTAGGTTTAGACGGTAGATACTAGCAAGGTGAAATTGCATTCCGGTGTGTGGTGGTGGTGTAGTATTGTGTTTTGTTCTCTATTTTTTGCCTGCTCAAGCATTTCCTTTCTTTTATGCGACACACTCACACGACCTTGTGTCTTACGAGATTTGAACACCCAAGGTCCCAACTGAGTAGGATTTTATATTTTTGCAAGTTTGTTTAAATTTGTAGGAAACCGGTTTTGATGGTCTCTGAGGAATTGATTGGTGCGTTCCATGAAAAGGGACTACCATTTTCGGTTGCAAATGGCCATCAAGTTCCAATCTTTCCATCAATCAAAAGAAGCCC